AGAAAGTGTTAGTGAGATTAGAGACATACTGGCACCAACTTACATTTCCTCCCTTAGAAGGACTGAAAGAAAATTGAATAGGTAGTACCTTGTTCAGTATGTGATTTACTGCAATTTAATGTCACCGTGCGTTTCCTTCTGGAATCATCTCAACAGGAGTCCCATGCTTTGACAAGGCCGTTAGAGGAGAAAGTGAAGGAGCAGTGTTCATTTACTATTGACCTGCTTTGTTTTCAAAGGTGTGCTATGTGCACTGATTGTATATTTTCAAAGGTACATATTATATTCTATTTTCTATCCATTTCAACCCCCACTCAGAAGCAGAAAATTATTCTTTATCTCTAATCTTTAAACTTAAGAGGGAAAATCTGGTCTTCTAAGAGGGAAGATACATACCAGATGTGGCTGTATGCTGTGACATACTCCACAGGAAGGGTTAACACTGTGACTCGACCTGTGCAATGAGCTTCTCCCAAATCCACTCCTACCAGGTTAAAACAAAAACAAAGTCAACAACCTGAAAGGAGGCTTTCAAATTTTTAAAAAAGTGTCTCCAAAATTTAAAACCATATGAGTGATGACTACTTAAGCCATTAGAAGTAGCTCTGTAGTGTGCTTTCTCTTACAGGGTTCAGCCTGGGATGATGTGAGCGATATTCCTAGGACATACATACATGGTAATCAATAAAAATCGGAGCTTGGTATCTTCCTCAGGTCACTTTCCAACTAATAAAATCCAGAATTTGGTTCATTGATTGACCCTTTGTAATTTATTTAAAAAAAAATTTAGAGCCGGGCTCGGTGGCTCAGCCTGTAATCCCAGCGCTTTGGGAGGCCGAGGTGAGTGGATTGCCTGAAGCCCGCAGGTTCGAGAGCTGCCTGGGCAACTTGGCAAGACCTCATCTCTATAATAAATCAAAAATTAGCCGGGCGTGGTAGCACGCGCCTGTAGTTCCAGCTACTTGGAAGGCTGAGGTGGAAGGATCGCTGGAGCCCAGTAGGTCGAGGTTGCGGTGACTGGGAGTTGCCACTGCACTCCAGTCTGGGTGACAGAGTGAGACTCCAACTCAAAAAATAAAAAATAAAAAAAAATAAAATAAAAAATAAATAAATTTAGGACTGAAAAATCTAATATGAATTCCTTTAGTAACATTCTAAGGTTACTTTGATTTATGCACCACTTTAAACACATTCTTACTCTTAATATTTTTATTGGAAATGCTATATATTTAATCAGAAGTAGATAACACACACTTCAGACACTTGTATTAGGAAATAAAATTCATACTAAGAATGTCTACAGAAAACCTATTTAGTAGTCAGTTCATATTTTCCACCTCATTCAGTTATACAACAAATATTTATAAAGTGACTGGCATGCGTCAGTCACTGTTCCAGGCACTGAATACATGGCAGCGAATAAAAGGCCACAACACAGAAATATTTCTACCATCTTGAAAATTATATTCCTGTGTCCCTTGGGCACTTATTGAAATACAGCATGAAACATGATGTTGCCATTTCTAGGAAAATTATTTTTGTTTTATTGTGATTTACATTCAAAGGGGTATTATGAAAAGAATATCTTATTCCTTAGCAATTAGCAGTTTTTATATTCATCTTTTAGAGTGCATGACAAAACAATCAAAACTGTAAAAAGAAACAAAACATTTTCCTTTGCTTTTTACTCCTTTTGTTCTCCTTACTTTCACTGGTTTACAGAAAAGCCCTGGAGGTGGAGAACCATGACTTACTTGTCTTTGTGTCCCAAGCACCCAGACCCAAACCTAGCACATAATTGGTATTCCACAAGCTGTACAGAATATCTTCAATATATAGGTGTTTAGAGTGAAATTAAACCAGGAGACACTGAAACTATTGCATGGATGTTTAAATAAAGCTATTCAAAATGGTCTGAATGGGAAGGAACTATATGTGTTACCTGTCTAGGACTGTTCCAAGAAAACTCTAAATTGTTTGCTCTCCATCAGAGGCCTTCAGGGAATAATCAGACACCATTATTGTGGCCTTCTGGGATGGAATGTGCATCCCTTCCTCCTTAGCAAATCCCCAGGGCCTGAAGAAGACACCCTGCGTGTGCTGGAGGCGGGAGGTGGGGTTTAGGGATGGCATGGATGACAAAAAGCGGTAAGGTGAAAAATAAGAATCAAGTTTTCTTCATCTCACTTGTCTCAGACACAGGTAAATGCCTTGGTTCTTTTCGCGCTCCCATACCAACTACAGGGTTGTCATATAGACATACAGAATTGGAAGCCTAAAAGCTTAACATTTTATCTTCATTTTCCTTCCTCCCACCGCTTCCCCCAGCACCACAGGGCATTTCAGGCAAAGCAAAGTGGGCCAAAAATGCCATTCTTAATGTGGGACGATACACTATCTAAATGTGCCCAGAAAACAAACATTGAGAGATTTCAGTGTTGAACTATGAAAACAACTAGTTACAAGGCAGAGGAAAAAGTAACTGCCCTGACATATTTCCTTTTCGGCATCATGTTCAGCCATACAAGCTTGGGGAGAGGAGTTCATGTTGGTTCTTCCAACTCTAGAAACAGTTCCACCGGAAGGCTCAATAGTCCAGGTAAGACTATTCATTTCATGACTCATGAATCAGTGATTATGTGTCTTTACAGAAGAAAGTTATTGTTCTCTAGCTGTTCAGAACTAACAGTGTTTGCAAAACACCAGGATTAGAAGAGAGGAATTTGAAGAGAATTTTGCAGATTTCATTGCCTGAACATTACCTTTCCCAAACAGCCAAGAAATTGCCTAAATAGTCTCACAACCTAACTTGCTCTTTAGCAGAACAAGGACCCACAGCTGCCAAAACCGTGACAATTAGAGAGGCGAAGCGAAACTTCCAGCAGTGATTTCTTCAGTTGAAGAATTTGAGGAATTATGCATGGTTATTCATTTGAAATATCAACTCAGCTCCTCCAGACAGAACCTGCCACTAACAACGAAGGAAAAGACTTAACTTTAATTATATATATATCATATATGTATATATATATCTCCCATTGTGGCATTACTCATTTCTATAACACGTTAACACGTTTTTGCAAAAAAAGAAAAAGAAACAAGGTTCAGTATTTTCAGAAAGTCTTTTTTTCTTTTAATATTATCATCATCCTATCCATTGCTGCAATAGAAAGATGTGGTTTGAAGAATTTCCTGTCTCAAAGAAAGCCTTGTATCCCCGTCAGCAAAGTAGGCACACTCTGGGAGGCCAGCCAGCATGTGGGAAAGGCCTCCTGTAAAACTGGGTTTTTATGTGTGTGTTAAAATGGGATTCTACCTGTATCTGCAGTCGTTTTCTATTAAGTAATGCTCTCTACCCTTCAAGAACACAATGCTAAAATTCGGAGAAATCTTTAATTCTTCCCCTTTTTTTTTGTAAAGAAGGAAAAAATAGATTTTAAAATAGATTCTCAAAATTTTTTGGCAATTGTTTAAGGTCATTTTTGAAGGTGCTTTCATACTCTCTTTGGTTAGAAAAGTTTATGCAGACGCCGGGTATGGTGGCTCATGTCTGTAATCTCAGCACTTTGGGAGGCGGAGGCGGAGGCGGAGGCGGGAGGTTTGAGACTAGGAGTTCAAGACCAGCCTGGGCAACAGAGCAAGCGTTTCACCCCCAACAACAACAACAACAACAACAATAAGTGTATGCAAACCAAACTCAAACACACTACATGGTGCCTGGGAAACTATTTTGACAGACTCGGCACTACTCTAGCGCCGACGTCTTCCTGCACCGTGGAAACAGACAACATTCCCCACGGAAAGAAAAGGCAGGTTTTCAGGAGCTTGAAAGGGAGGGAATCCAGTTTCCCGGCAAGCGCGACAGTCGTCAAAGCTCCCCTTCGGGGGTGGGCGTGTTCCCGTTGCTCCTCTCCTTCTCCCATCTCGACGCCGGGCGCCG